CCTTCATCAATTCTTCAAAACTTTGGTATCATTGTGTTGATCTCATTGCCCTGGTTCTAGTCGCAACATTTACTCTCATCTGGAAGCACGTTTTGACCATGAATTTTCAAATCCCCTTTCAAAACTTTCTTTCCAAATTGCTTGAGTTATAGTTTATATAAATTTTTCGCGAAGGTTTGTTTGTCTTCGTCTTGAAGAGACGAAGCGAATGGCATAGGTCTGAGCTTCTAATTTTACAGTTGGAGAGACCTGAAATTCGTGAGGGCTGGAGGTTGAAGATGACCAACGTGTCATCTTCTAACCAATGAAAGGGTGACATTTGTTATTTTCAAATCCTGATTTATTTAATGATTCTGTACATTATTCAGTAAAGACCATGACATGCACAGCGCGCCAGATCCTTTGGATTTGATTACTAACGCGTTTTGACTCTCATTCAATGGTCCGCATATTTTTCTTTTTTTTCTTTTTCTGATTTTTATATTTTAATTGTTTTAAATTTAAAAAAATCATAGAAAATTCATTTTTAGTCCAAAAAATCTGAAAAAATTATGAAAACTATTTTTGATTATTCTCTTTTTTATTTTTATTTTTTCACAATTTATTTTTGTGTTTTGATATTTTTTATGAATTTTACACTTATTTGATTTGTTTAAAATGTTTAAAAATATTTTTACACATTTTTTAATTCTGAAAAAATTATGAAATGATCCAATGACATTGTGACAAATATTGGTGACTTTATTTTATTTTTGTTTCTGACTTTACTATTTTTTTACCATTTTTTTTTATTTTACCCATTTATTTTAATTTTTAAAAATAGTTTATGACTTTTAAAAATTCCCAAAAATTTTATAAAAATATTTGGACCCATTTCTGATTTTTCTATGGTTTTGTTTTTAATTTCTTGATTAATTTGAATATTATTGATATTTTCCCATTATTTTTTTAGTTTATTTTAACATTTTTCATCCTTTAATATATATTAAATATTATATCATTTTGTGAATATTTTCTGGCTGTCTTGGGTTGATTTTTTGGTCATGGCTTTATTAACATCATTGGATCCATGGTGTTGAGTCTAACTCCACAAAAATGGATGAATGGTTTTAATAATAGTTTGATTAAATATTAATTCAAATGTGGTTTTCTTTTTTTTACCCTAATTCCTCTTCATCTCATTCCCTTCTTCTTGCACTAAATGTTATTGGAGCATGATCTCTATATCATGTCTCAAAACAAATAGTGCATAGATTGCTATTGACCGACCTCAAAATAGGTGCGACTTCTATATAAGTCCACTTACGATTACTTAACATAACGCTAAATTTTATCCCGATTCGAATAAATGATCATTTGTGGCTCAAACTTATGATTGCAAGCCCAAGTATGTTAATTTGATCTCTTTGATCCAATAACCTTGAGATTCATTGTGTGGAGGCTTTGGTTCTACCAATCCTCTAATGGATCTACAACACTTTTGGTCAACGCGGATCACTTAAACATCGTTGATCATTAAATGGTACTTATGAGAATTCCAAATGGATGATATACTTGACAAAAAGCAAATGCAACTTGTTGTGTGAAGGCTTTGGTTCTACCAATCCTCTAATGAGTTTCAAATGCAAGTTTCAAGATGGTCATCCAACTAACCACTAATTATTAACTTGTTTTATTTTATGCTTTTTATTCTTTTATGCTTTATGTATTATTTATCTTTTAGTATTTTCATTTCATGTCATTTTCATCTTTGCTCATTTGAGCATTTATTTTCTTGTCCTTTTTATTTTACTCACTTTAGTTTTTCTTTTTATTTTCTTAAGATACTTAATAATCAACATAAACCCTAAAAAACTCTTAATGGTACTTGCACTATTTGGTTACTATCCTTGGCATGATGGAGCAGTGGACTTTTTCTTGGACTTAGGATTAGAAATCTTGGCCTATCTTGAAGACCTTGTGATCTTATCCGATTATTTTGTCTGGAGCTCTTACGGTTTACCTCAAGACATTGGGTTGCTTGTTTGTTTTTGTGTGCAGGTTTTTGTGATTACACTCTTTGTTTTGTAATCTGGAATTCACCCGCGTACAGCCGTTACTCTGCCCAATTTTTGTGAAGACTTAATACACTTGAAGAGGCCTAGTATCTTTGCTTGCTTGGTTTCAATTCAAAGAATGAGAATTTTATCTTGGCTCATAATGTAAAGCCTTGACTTCTTGTTAGTTAGATGGTCCTTATCCTTAGCTTTTATCTTATGCTTTAGGATAGCCTCTTCTTCTCCTCCCATCTTCTTTAATTTCAAAAATCTTCTCCCACCTTTTGAAAACCCTTCTTTTTTTTAACTTGAACCACTTTCATAACAAACTTGGGCTTATGTCCATGCATTTTCAAAAATATTTTCATAAATAAACTCCAATCAATTTAATAATACCTTGACATTTTTGTGAGAAGACTAAAAGTAAACCAATCTCATTTCAAACCATTTTGCCACTTTGGCTTTTATCTTTAAAACTTTTCTCAAAAGATTAAGGCTCTTGTCAATCCTTGTAGTGATGCAAACAACTATACTTCTACAATATGTAGTGAAGTGAGATATTTTCCACTTGGGTGTTGAGTGAGACATTGTTGATTTTAAAATTCAAGCCATATCCTCCATTTTGAGATAATGCAAATTCTCATTTCTCATGATTGTGGGTAGTAAGTATGTTTTTCATACGGACAATGACGATGATGTCTTATCTCTTAAAATCAACCAACACATTTTGTGTTTTCAAATTTTTAAAAAAGGAACTGTGTGTACCCTGATCCCCTATTGCACGAAAGGTGGTACGTAGGCACTAAAGGTTCGCAACCGCGGCGGGTGCAAAAATCATTAAAAAAATATTTCTTTTCTCACCTCCACCATCCATTTTATATATAACACATTTTATAGCCAAAATATACAGATTTTACAAAGAGGCTTCTGCGGAGTACCGTAGATGTTTAGGGTGCTAATATCTTCCCTTTGCATAACCAACCCCCTTACCTTGAATCTTTCTCCCTCTTTTCGGGTTATTCGCTCTTTTCCCATTCCTTTGGGAACAATAAAGCGCGATGGCGATTTTTATTTCTGATTTGTATAAAGGCTAGTCAATCCAATGACTTAGTCTTAAATATTTCTACCGCTACAATGAGGTACTAACGTTGAGGAAAATTCTAGGAAGTAAGAACCCAGCAGATATGTTGACAAAGGTGGTGACTACTGATAAACTGAAATTGTGCTCAACTTCAGTTGGCCTGCTATAATAACATACTAGAGAAGGCTACTGCATGATCGAGGTGTGAAGACCGACTGAAGTCAATCTTCAAGTGGGAGATTGTTGAAAAAGTCATGAAAATCTTAAACACCACCGATTATTAATGAAGAAGTTATTATAAGAAATAAAACTTATGCTTTGGAGAAAAGTATGCAAAGTGCTACGTTGTTTTGCTTTACTTGCTATAAAATAAGGCAAATGTATAAATAATAAATATTCCAACATTAAGAGTCTTTTCATTGTGTATTTTATTTTTCATAAATAAAGTCTGCAATTATTATATCAATTTATATTGTTATTATTTCACATTTTATACTGCTTTCTACGAATCTGACCATAGAAAAATTTAGCGTAGTTTTCTAACAATGTGTTTGACCAAATAGAACACAAAACAAAGGGTTGAAAAGTATATTTTCACAATGTTTAATCATATCAAACTCGTCAAGATAATATGATTAGACAAAAATCACTTCTTGAAATGTGCCACTAACTTGCTGCAAACTCATATTGCTTCTTACTACATCTTTAAACGATGTAATGGATTGGTAGTCAATTTTCTTCTGGGATCATATTGATGGTTGTGCCCGTTAAAAAAATGAGATTTTTGTACGTGTTTAAGCAATATGACACAAACGGAATTATTCAAAGAACGTGATCAAGCTCTAAATTCTTCACAAAACTCTTAAGTCTTTGCCTCCTTTATTGTGTCCAAGTTGACTTCAAATATTGATTCGATTAATAGACATAATATTAATACTTATTCTTTTAATGAAGTTTAGTCAACTCATTATAAATAATGGATGCTTTTAATCAATAACCTCTAATATATATATATATATATATATATATATATATATATATATATATATATATATATATATATATATATATATATATATATATATATATATATATATATATATATATATATATATATATATATATATATATATATATATATATATATATATATATATATATATATATATATATATATATATATATATATATATATATTGATGTAACGTTTCACCTATAGTGAAACTCTTGATGATGTTACAACAGTATGTTTTTAATCAAGCATAAAAAATATATTTATAAATACAGGATATATATTAAAGTAAAGAAACAAACTTTTTTATAGATATATAAATTATTAATATTTATTTTCAGAAAAATTAAAAGATAGATATTATTATTAAAATTTGACATTCATTTAGATCATTTTGAGAGGGTGTGTAAGATAATCTTAAAAATAGAGTCTTGCAATTTTTCATAATTAAACTAAGATTAAAAAAATGTCTTCATACATGTATTTTATACTAATTACAATTAAATAGAATCTCTTAAAAATAATTTTACCACTCAATTGAAATTAATTTTAGATTCTTACATATAACCTATAGTTTGAGACGGCTCTAGCAGTAATATAAACCATTTTGAATCCACCACTTGAATATTAGATATTAATATGTTAAATTAATAGATAGAGTTTAAATCCCTTGAAAGCAAAAAAGGGAAATTTTAATTCATACATTATCAAACTAAACAAACTTACAATAAGATATTATGAACTTTACATTATAGTAACTTATTAACTGGTATCTAACATCCAGTTTTATTTCCACAATCAAACTTATTACTATTTAACAAACAACAATCCAACAAACAAAAAATTAAGAAACTAATAACTAACCATCATTCTAATTCTTCCTATAAGGCAAAGTAGGGATACTTTGTTCATTCCTAAAGAAATTATCAGGATCAACCTTAGTCTTAATTTCAACCAACCTATTAAAATTATCCTTAAAATATTCAACTCCATAAACTCTTCCTTCAATGTAACTATTCTTACCATTATGATTAATTCCCAAATCAAGATCCTTATAATTAAGAAAAGCCTCTCTTGGATTGTTGGACACAAAAGGTGTCATATATTTGTGAAGTTTTCTAGTCAAGTTTATGTAATGCTCAGCAACATCTTTCCCTGCTTGGTTCCAATTTGCTTGATATTGAACCTTCCACAAATTTCCAGCTCTATGAGGAAAAGGTGTTGCTGTTGATGCAATCTCAGCCATTTTTCCACCATAAGGATTGAAATACAATATTGCATCTTTCAACTCAATCATCTTCTTCCAAATCCCTTCCAAACCCTCCTTCGAAATCGGTTTCTTTACATAATCAGATTTTCTTTTCAAATAATTCAACGATTGCGGTTGTCGGTCAAGCAAAATCTCGACCGGCTCCGTAATGTTGATATTAGTCCAAAACAAAACTGATTGAAGCCAACTTGTTTCAATGCAATCACTTTCCTTTAAACCTAACTGAGGGAACTTTTTATTCATTAGTGAAACAAGAGTTTTTGAATCACCAAGAAATAAAGATATAAAACTAGCCCTAACCGTCTTTGCACCATTTTGTGTACCATTTTTTGTAACATTTACAACATCAATAATAAGCCTAATGAATAGGTCATTATCAATAGTTGGTGCTACATGTTGCCAATTATAAACTATGTCACTTGCATTTTCTTCCAAAGTTTTTCTAACTTGAAAAACAGTTACTATTTTTGGAATTTTAACTAACTTTATTTTGTAAGAAAGAATAACACCAAAGCTACCTCCACCACCACCTCTAATAGCCCAAAAAAGATCTTCACCCATTGATTTTCTATCTAGTAATTTACCATTAACATCAATTATTTGTGCATCAATAATATTATCAACAGAGAGACCAAATTTTCTCATCATATTACCATATCCACCACCACTAAAATGTCCTCCGACACCGACGGTAGGGCAAACGCCGGCAGGAAAACCATGAATATCACTTTTTTTATTGATTCTATAGTAAACTTCACCGAGGGTTGCGCCGGTTTGAACCCAAGCTGTTTCGTTTTCTATATCAACATCAATGGACCTTAGATTGAACATGTCTAAGATAAAGAATGGAACTTCAGCTACATAAGAGACACCCTCATAGTCATGTCCTCCACTTCTGATTTTCATTTGCAAGTTGTGTTTTTTAGCACAAATGATTGATGATTGTATGTGGGAAACATGTAATGCTGTTATTATGAGATATGGTTTTCTTGTGGTTGATGTGTTGAAACGAAGGTTTCTTATGTAGGCTTGTAAGACTGAAGAGAATAAGGAATTGCTTGGTGTGAAGATTGATGAAGTTATAGGGTGTGAAGGTTGTGAATGGTTTACTAGGCAATGGATAAAAGTGTTGTGAGGTGAATTTGTAGCTGAAGTTATGCATGAGAGAAAAAGTAACGTAAAAATGGGAGATAATAATACTGCAAGTTTCATATTTGCTTCTTTTTCTTAATAATGTTGGTGTAATTGTAGTAACAAAGAAAAGAGGATATAAATATTGTGAGTATTTTGGGCATGATATGTAGTGATATTTATAAGGATCAATAGAGTTTAGGTTACCTCTATTTGACCAATATAAATATTTAGAGAAATAATATAGATAACGTGAATGAATCATTTTTTGACTTTGCCAAAATATGATTTGTCAAGATTATTACAAGATTTTGATACATTTATGCTAACAACCCCCACCTTCTCTCTCTTCTCTTTGTGTACTTTTCTCTTTCCTTCTTCTTCATTCATAAGGAGAGGTGATCTATATCACATTTGCCACTGTATTAAAATCGGATAATTTAATCAAACGTTTGGATTCGAATGGTAAACGAATCTCTACAAATGACGATATTTAAGAAATACTGAGTTCAATTCTAGTAAAAATAACACTTGGTTAGTACACGTGTCTCTGTAACATAAATTGGATTAGTCGAACTACTATGTAGGTTAGAAACCGGCGCAAAAGTAAAAAGAAAAGGATAATTTTATTCGTATTTATTAATTATTTATTTTAAAATTTTAAAACGTTAAAATTCAATTTATTTTAATAAAATAAAAAAATCTCAATTTAAAATATCTCCCAACTGTGTAATAACACCTCCAAATAAAATTTATATTGCAACGATTGTAATGTACATTGCAACAATCGAGATAATTGCAACCGCAACATCTACAAAAGTGGCATGCTAGTTTATTATTTGATGTGAATAAATAGATGAGAAATTTTATTTGATTATGAGATATTGAGAAGAGAAAGTTGATTATTCTAGCTTGTCATAAAATTTGTAAGCCTAGAGATGAAGGAGAACTACGTCTTAAATCTAACTAAACTATCAACAAAGCTATCGTCTTTCATTTGACTTGTAAGTATCCTACTTCTGATCAACATTAGACTATTTTGTTGAGAGTTCATACCAAAAGAAAAAGTTTTCACATTAATGATCACATTATATAACTCCTCTATTCGGTCTTATATTAAATTCCAATTTATATATTATTTAAGATAACTCTTGTTTCAGATCGATCAAAATGGTCATCGACCAAAAACGTAAAGGAAACAATGATTCGTTCAAATTGCACACGATACAAGGGAACTACCATACAAAATAATATAGGAGATTCAAAAAACGTAAAGGAAACAATGATTCGTCCAAATTGCACACGATACAAGGGAACTACCATACAAAATAATATAGGAGATTCAAGATCAAGATGCATCTAACGACTCTCCATATCACATGTCTAGAGAATACTCTTTTGATATAATGTTCGTTTATATAAAGGTCATACACGTTAAATTTTGATACACAATTTTAAATTTAAATTTCATTCACTCTTCTCATTCACGTACTGACTTCTTCCACTACATTTGTAACTCAATTCCACCATTTTCCATCGCAACTATCGATTCTCCGATCAATTCTAATACCACAAAGGAACAACTCTCAATAGAAATTTCGTAATGGTGATAAAATCAATTTCTATACTAGCTTTTGGCTTAATAAACTTCGGATAAATATTCTCCAAATTGATCCTCGTATTATCCTAGAAGTTAGGATTATACATTTCATTCATGTCAAACATTGATGTATCTCTCTTAATATATGAGTCAAGCTTTTCCTAATTTGAACGACTTGATATGCAAAGTTCATAGCCCTAAGTATGACAATCCTCTAAATCTCACTCTCATCTTCAAGGATGGTTATCTAAATTTTACTCCTCCTAGACAACGATTTCAGTGGACTAAGCATATATGGCATCAACACATTCCTCTTTCAAACTTTTGTTGTGCTTTGGAACCTTTTTTTGAATATCTTTCCTACAATTTAAAATCTTATGGACTGAGGATGCAACTTGCGTTTAAATGTGATTTATGTGGTGAGAAAACATGAGTGAGGAGACAGCTAATTTGTAAATATTATGTATAGATGTTCTAAATTATAAAATTATATAATGTTAAATATTGATTTTACAATTTAATTTACAACATTTAGGTGGTGCGAAACAAAGAAATCAAATTAGTTTTAACAGAAATAACATTCAAATTGAGGAGTAAAATGAAAAAACTAAGAGAATAAGACCAATTTAACTGTAAAAATACTATTATTTTATGTTACAAGCATGCTATTATGCAGTATTAAAGCATTTAGCTAGAGTTATTAATTCCCGAAAAATAATAACTCCTATTAAATCAATTTTTGATAAATAGTAAAAATAACTTTTTCACTCCCATTAAATAATTTTTTCACTAAAATTGTTAAAAAAAAACTCCTGCAATCAGTATTAAAAAAAAAAAAAAAACAGATTTTCCAATGAGACAGCGCTTGTGTAAGAACTCTTTATTGTAATAATTTTTTGTAACACTTTTTAGTAATTGAATGTAGTATCCTTTATACTTCTCGTTAATCTCAAATTACTCATAAAAAAAATTTAATGTTAATATCAGAGGAATCCATTTTCAATGCCCTATATAGGCTATGATAAATGAGATGATTGCAAGGGTACAATACGTCCTTAATTTTATTAAACAAATAATATATTTCACATCAGAAGTAAAGGCCAGAACAAAAATAAATTTAAAGGAAAGGCCAAATATACAAGTTATCAAATAAATAAAACATAAAATGTAGAGTGTATAGAAGTTGAAAAAAATATAATACATAAAATTTAAAAATGTATGTATAAAATGTTTGATTTCTTCTAGCTAATCAATGGTCTCCCGAGTTAGACTTCAACTTTGAAAATACAGTAACTATTTTTAATTTTGGAACAAAGTGTTGTAAAACTTGAAAGTTAATTAATCAATAATTTAGGTAATAATTCTTAATTATAATTTTCTTTTTTGTGTTAAATAACTATATTAGAGAATATATTTGTCAAGACCGATATAATCAGAAGAGTTATTGAAAAAGATAGTGCAAATGGATTGAGAATCTATGAAGAAGAAGAAAGAAAGTGCAAAAATTTGTTACCAAACAGTTGCAATTGTAATTTTCAATATTATGTCATTATATATATATATATATATATATATATATATATATATATATATATATATATATATATATATATATATATATATATATATATATATATATATATATATATATATATTGTTGGAAATCTTGGTATGATGTAAATTTGGAGTGGGAGTTGGAATAATTTATTGACATTAAATGGGCAATAAATGAGTACAGAACTAGCATGAAAGTGAATTTGAAAAGATTCATTTTAGTCCCGAAAGAGTGGAAATTAATTAATATTAATATTATTATTAATTAATTAATAGATGGTGATGTGTCATGCACAAAAGACCAAGTCTTAACCTAATTATTGACTGGTTTTTGTTTGCCCCCAAAAGACTAAGTCTTAACCTAATTATTCACTGGTTATTGACTAGGCCAATTCCACCTCTCCCACGATTTTCTCCCACTAGACCTGTTCCATTCAGTTGGACCTTTTCACTTATAAATTAAGTTGTTTCGGTTCATTTGGGCAGTCCTAGAATTTACTTCTACAATTCTTCTTTCTTCTCTCATCACTCACTTCATCTATAATTTTCTTCTCTCTTATTTTCGACTGGATCACTTCGTATCCAGATACTAAGACTGGTTAATTACCATTCGAAGGTGTCATTTTACGAACGACTAATTATAGTGCAAGTAATTGTCGTAATTGAATGAGTTGTTTTATCCTGGAGGCATCGTCGAAACTCGACTGCTTTGCATTAATATTGGCAGTACGACGAAACGTCTTAAAGAAAGCGACCTAGTACGCGACTCGTCCCGATACTTTTCCTTTGTGCCATTTTTTAAAAATCCGGTTTCTACAATTTTAAGACGTTTTCATAACCGCCATGGCTACTGAGGAAATTATCGGTACTAGCGCTGCCGCTTCTGTCTCTGACAAACCATTTAAGTTTGAGGGTTCCAATTTCAAACGTTGGCAAGCTAAGATGAAATTTTTATTAACTTTAAAGAAGGTTGTCTATGTTCTGACTAAGGATATCCCTGTTGCTCCATCTGGATCAAACGAACTAAGTAATGGTAAGTCAACCGTGGACTCAGACGAAACTTCTCAAACGTCTGACTTAGACTCTGCTGCTAAAGCTGCGGCAGATAACTTACAGCTCCAAAAAGAAATCGCCTTATGGCAAGAAAATGACTACCTCTGTAAAAATCACATTCTGAACAGTCTTGCTGATGATCTCTATGATTACTACAACAATTACAAGACTGCTAAACAGGTATGGGAGGCTCTGCAGAAGAAATATGATACTGAAGAAGCTGGTGCAAAAAAATATGTTGTCAGTCGCTACTTGAATTACAAAATGGTGGATGAAAGGTCTGTGGAAGCTCAAAGCCACGAGATACAGAAGATTGCTCATGAAATCATAACTGAAGGTATGCCCCTCAATGAACAATTTCAAATTGCTGTTATAATTGACAAGCTGCCTCCTGGTTGGAAAGATTTTAAAAACCTACTCTGACATAAAACTAAAGAATTTTCAATCGAGAGTTTGATTACCCGCCTTCGAATTGAAGAGGAAGCTCGAAGACAAGATCAGAAAGATGAAATCTTAGTTGTTTCAAACAACAAAAAGAAATTCGGTGCGGTTCTGAAGCCTACGGGCAAACCTTTAAAGAATCAGAACCGTAATACTGTGAACCGAATTAAGAATGGGAATCCCTCTAGGGCCCCATATACTCCAATTCCTAGGCAGCAACCACCATCCCAGAGAAATGATGCTCCGGTTTTCACTTGCTACAATTGTGGGAAACCGGGTCATATGGCTAAGAAATATAAGAGCAGGCCTAAGTCTGCTACTGACCCAAATGCACATGTTAACCTGACTGATGAGCAATTCATTGCTATGATCACTGAAGTCAACATGGTTGATGGAAGTGATGGATGGTGGATAGACACTGGCGCCTCTCGTC